CCAAGAGGAAGAAACGTATAATATAGTAGCCGCTCATGGTTATTTTGGACGATTAATTTTCCAATATGCTAGTTTCAATAATTCTCGTTCATTACACTTCTTTTTAGCTGCTTGGCCTGTAGTAGGTATTTGGTTCACTGCTTTAGGTATCAGCACTATGGCATTCAATCTAAATGGTTTCAATTTTAATCAATCCGTAGTTGATAGCCAGGGCCGGGTAATTAATACTTGGGCTGATATAATTAATCGTGCTAACCTTGGTATGGAAGTTATGCATGAACGTAATGCTCACAATTTCCCTCTAGACCTAGCTGCTATCCAAGTTATAGCTACAAATGGCTAGAGACTTCGTCTCTTAGTATATAGATAGAGAATCTATTTAAAATAGAATAAAGGAGCAATTCCGCCTTCTTGTCTAGAACAAGAAATCGGTTATTGCTCCTTTATTGATTCCTTTTTGAAAATAACATAGTTTAGTCGGGGGCGGATGTAGCCAAGTGGATTAAGGCGGTGGATTGTGAATCCACTATGCGCGGGTTCAATTCCCGTCGTTCGCCCATCACTCGAATTATCGTTTCGATAAATTCTATAAATGGGTGAAATATATGAGTGAAAGTAAATAACATGCCGCTATGGTGAAATTGGTAGACACGCTGCTCTTAGGAAGCAGTGCTAGCGCATCTCGGTTCGAGTCCGAGTAGCGGCATAAAAAATAAGAGTAATCTTTTGTTCTTTTTCATTTTTTTCTTATCTAATTCGGAGTTAAAATCTTATTTTTTTTTTATTTTTATGATAGTTTCAACCTTAGAACATATACTAACTAATATTTCACTTTCAATAATACTCGTTTCTATTTTAATTAAAATTTATTTGAAAATCTTTTTTGTAGATGAAAACATAAAACTTTCTAATTCATCAGAAAAGTGCATTTTCATAACTTTTTTATGTATAACAGGATTATTAGCTACTCATTGGATTTCGTCGGGCCATTTCCCACTAAGTGATTTATCGGAATCTTTGCTTTTTCTTTCCTGGAGTTTTGCTCTTATTAATAGCCTTTCCTATTTAAAAAAAAATACAAAATTATTAAGTACAATAATAAGCCCAATCAATTTTTGTATCCAGGCTTTTGCTACTTCGGGTCTTTTCACAGAAATTAAAAAATCTTCAATATTAGTCCCCGCTCTTCAATCTGAGTGGTTAATAATGCACGTAAGTATGATGATAGTGGGTTACGCAGCTCTTATATGTGGCTCCTTATTATCAGTAGCACTTATGGTCATTACCTTTAGAAAAAATGAAAATATTTTTAAAATGAATTATATTTTTTCGGCTAAAAATTTTTATAAGATTCAATTAAGTAAAGAATTGGATTATTGGAGTTATCGAGTTATTAGTTTAGGGTTTATCTTTTTAACCATAGGAATACTTTCGGGGGCTTTGTGGGCGAACCAAGCGTGGGGATCTTATTGGAGTTGGGATCCTAAAGAGACTTGGGCTTTTATTACTTGGATAGTGTTTTCAATTTATCTACATACTCGAAGAAATAGAACTTTCGAAGGTGCTACTTCGGCAATTGTGGCATCTATAGGTTTTCTTCTTATTTGGATATGTTATTTTGGAGTCAATTTAATTGGATTAGGTCTACATACTTATGGTTCATTTTCGCGAACATAAAAAAAGACATTAATTTTTTACTTCGTGAAAAGCTAAAAATTTGTGAAACCCGTGCTCTCAAATAAAAATATTTCCTATTTGAGAGCACGGGTGTTCAATAAAAATAGAATGAATTCAAATATACTTTTCTGGACCAGATCAATAAGCGAGACCCATACTGCGAGTTGTTTCATGCCATAAATAAACTCGAACACTCAAGAAATCTGTTGGGCAGGCGGATTCACATCTTTTACAGCCTACACAGTCTTCTGTTCTCGGAGCAGAAGCAATTTGTTTAGCCTTACATCCGTCCCATGGTATCATTTCTAAAACATCGGTGGGGCAGGCTCGGACACATTGAGTACATCCTATACATGTATCATAAATCTTTACAGAATGTGCCATTGGACGAATAAATTTATAAACTTTATGAATTATCGATATAGTATCCTCCAAATATTATTTTTATCCAATATAAAATTATAAGATACTTGGTTTTTAGATACTATATGACTCAATGAATTCTCAGAAGGATTCTAATCAATAGATTTCTGGATTGGTTTTGAAAATAAAAAAAAATTATTTTATGTTTTAATATTATCATTTTTTTATAACTACGCAAACTACCTACAAACTACCTAATAGGGTAAATAAGGATTCTTTTTTTAATTAACTCAATCTATTGTTTTAAAGTTTTAAATAAATACTCCCTTCAAATTTATACAGTAAGAATCAATAGACAAAAGGACATGATGTCTTTCTATTCACTACCCCAAGCTATTCTTTTTTAATTGTTTCAGTAACCATATTGTTGTTCTAAATTTACCTCTATAATAGGTTTGAAAAGCTATGCAACTTCAAAATGAATGAGTTTTTGTCTCTCTAATCTCCAATTTATCAATTAATTCTTTATAGCGGAATTTATTTTTTTTTGATAAATAAGCTAAAAGTCGTTGTCGTTTCCCCAAAATTTTACGTAAACCTTTTTGAGATAAATAGTCTTTTTTGTGCAATTTCAAGTGGGAAGTAAGCCGGTGTATTCTATTGGTGAAATTCCATACTTGAAATTCAACGGAACCTCTGTTTTGTAAGTTTTTTATCATAAACTAAATGAACTCCCTTCATTGATATATAATATGCATTTAAAATAATTTTTTATAATTAAGTTCTAGATTCATTTCATAGATATGAAATAATTGATTAGTAACTAAAACGAACGAACAAAAAATAAAGAAAAAAAGGATAATATTATTTACTTTTATTCTATATTATAGAATAAATCAACTTGACAGAAATGAGTCCAATGTTTTCTTATTTTTTTTGTAAAAAAAACTTTGAAACTTACCCGTTAAAAGAGATTTTGCTAATGAAAGAGCTTTTAATCTTACCTCAATAGTCTTTCTTTTCCAAATGTTCTTACGAATACGCTTTTTGGCTTTCGAAATACGTTTTTTTGGAACTGCCATTTCAAATGATTTACAGGTTATCACTGGATGTGAAAGACATTTATTGCTAAAAAGGAATTCTTCTAACTAAGTCTATCAATTCAAATCAAAAGAAAACCCTTTCTTTTAGGGTTCATTAATAAAATCAAAGTGAATTTTTTCAACTTAATATTCTTTTAATGAGGTACAATATATCTATATAGATCTAGATAGATATATGGTATCCTCAATTCAGTTAGATCCAAATTAAAATGAGGTATAAAATAGGGTATGTGTCCATATTGGTTTTCATCTAACCTGCTACCATCTACCCTGCTACAGGGTAGATAGTACTACTATCAATTAAATTTCCACCAATTTAAATTCAATGGTAAATACATATGGATCCTTAACATACTGAAACGACTCCCATTATTAGTATAAAACCAATAACGATTCATACAAGCTAAATCTTCCAATCGATAATTAGGCCAAAGAAAAAATTCAATTAATTTATTTTGATCCTTAGGCCCAGGGTTGCTTTCTTCCCAAACTTTATTTTTGTTGGAAACTAGAGAATTTGCATCCACGCCATTCCATTTGTGTGAATTGAAACAAATTAGAGTTCTTAATTCTCTACGACGCCTAGATGATAAAATATTTTCAATAAGAAGCGGATCACAATTATTGTTCTCTCGAGCGCGAATTATTCTTTGTTTTACGTCTTCTTTATTAAGAATTTGTTTACTCTTATGAACCAACGAAATAACTATCGTTTCATACATAAGAAATTCTCCATTTGGTTTGATAGACAGCGGAAGGGGGTCGACCAAAAATCCCGTCTTTTTTAAAAATTCTGGAACACTCTCTTTTGAATCTGGAACACTCTCTTTTGAATCTGGAACATTTCTTTTTGAATCTGGAACACTCTCTTTCTGATCCATCTGTGGCATTAGACCCAAATTTAACTTTTCCCTTAGAATCCATGATAGCATCATTTTTTTTCGATTTATCATTCTAAGCAAGAGACAATAGATTTGGAGATCTTGGAAAAGGCCTTGATTTAAAGTAAAATCCTCTCTAAATTGAAAAAATAAATAGTTTTTCATGAATAACTCTAGTTCTATCTCAGTTTGACTTTTCTTTTCACCTTCAGTTTCACCTTCAGTTTCGCCTTTGGTTTCACCTTCAGGTTTACCTTTGGTTTCACCTTCAGGTTTACCTTTGGTTTCACCTTCAGGTTTACCTTTGGTTTCACCCTGAGTTTCACCTTTGGTTTGACCCTCAGGTTCACTTTTGGTTTGACCCTCGGCTTTATCTTTTTTTTTACTCTCAGTTTTATCTTTTTTATCTTTCTGAGTTTTACCGGTCTTTTGACTTGTCATTTCATTAAGATTCAAATTTGAAATAAGTGATTCGCTTGGTATAATCCATGGTTTCAGTTTATATAAATTAACAAACCACACAAATTCTGGGAAAACCAAAAGTTCCTCAGCCGTTAATGGACGGTCGAGTATTTCTTCATTCAGTCCCATCCAATCCAATAAAGAATTTCTAGAATGGAGTCGATTCATTTCGGTATTTTTCTGAATCAAAAGAGCAAAAGGATCTTTTTCGTTTTTAAAAATTTGCTCAATTTTCAAAATTTCTTCCATTTTATCAATTAATTGATAATTGTAAGTGAAAATTGGAGTATTTTGAGTATTGTTATAATTACCCGTGATCCAGGACTCAATATTCGCTTTTTTTTTAAGAGAAAAATCAATATTTTTCCAATTCAAATATTTTCTATCGACATCTTTTTTTGGATATGGAATATTTAACCTTTCTATTTTTCCTCTGAAACTAGTGATAGGAATATTTTTCGTTATCGCAAACAAGTTGTTTTGTGACATCTTGTAATGATAAGAAATTGCTTCCCGTTTAGCTCCTGGAGGGGTTCCACTATTTTTTTCATACTGAATGTATTGATATGCTAAAAGATCATATCGATAGCATTTTTTTAAATTATCTTTTGTTTTTTTATTCAAGACTGAGTTAGCATCCTTTTGTTTCCTGTAAGTATTTAATTTTAATTTTTTACCGGAAGTCCTTTTGTCTAAATATTTTTGTTTAGACCTACGATAGCGATTCGCCCTATTTCTCCATTTTTGTTTTTGTGATCTTAAGGCAGACCAGAAATTAGGAGATAAATCGTAGTGAGAATTCCCTTTTAACCAAAATTTCCATTGACTCGTTCTAGGCCGCTTAAGTTGTTTTTTTATTCCTTCAGATGGAAGTATTCCTTGTGTATGAAATGAGTCTTTTATTTTCTTTTTAATCAAGAAAGATGTTCCATTTTGTTGAAGAACAGATATGAAATTACGTACGTTCAAAAAACCCCTTTCTGATATTTTGTACAATACATATGCTTGTGACAAGTTGGATAAATCACCAAAACTCTCTGAATTTTCCTTATAAAGCTTATTATTATGCGTTTTTATATTTGAATTTGAAAGAGAGTTCATTTTTGTTGATTCCACAAAGACTTTTTGAGTCATTTGGCAAATAGATATAGTATATAAAAAAATACAATTAGATATTCTTTGAATAAATAATTTTATAAAATAATTAAATTTATATATTAATCTATTTTTTTTTTTTTTTCAACATTTGACAAAAATTTTTTGACAAGGCTAATCTCGAACTTTTTTTGTAAGGGTTCATATCAAGTTCTAGAGTGACCCTTTTCTTATCTTCCGTAATTCTTTCTAGTTTTTTTTTAATTGTACTTGTCCTATGAGTGATAGCCTGCATTTTGTCTATCGGTGAATAATTTTTCCAATCTGTAATTTTTTCAATTTTACTCAAGGGTTGATTCATTATCTGGTTATTTATTAGATCATCTTTTTCATTTTTTATTACACTCGGGTGTATTGTTCTTGTTTCTTTTGAACTTGTGTTTTTTTTTGAAAACTTTTTTAAAAATTTAATTTTTACTTTTACAAATTTGTAAAGTTCCTTAAAAACAGGCTTAAAAAACGAAGGTTTTTGTCGTGGATGACCAAAAGGGTGTTCTGTTTCCCTTCCCCAAACTGTTATAAAAACAAAAGTCATCACGAGAATTTAGCGATTTATATTCGTGCCAAGGTTTGAGACAGAAAGGAAATAAAATTTTGATTTGAATACCTTCTGTCAACCAATTTTCCGGAAATTTTTTGTCAGCTAACGGAATACCATTATAAGTACACTTCACATGCGTTTCTCTATTCCATCCCTTTAAATCTTCAGACCATTCAGGAGTTTGAAATAGTAGCATACGCCCGATATTTTTACCGATTATGAATGAAGGTAATAGAATCTTTTTTCTGAGAATTGATTGGGTTATTAATAAAAAACCTCTTATTATTTGGGTATATGGAAAAGCTCCCAGGCTTCCCCTATCTCTAACCGTTCTATTTCCTCTCGTCGTTTTTTTTCCTTTTTGGTTTCTCTTTTTATTATTATTTTTTTTTCCTCTGTAGATTCTAAAATCCCAAACTCTTTTATGGATGACCATTTTCTAAAAAGCCGTTTCAGTTGAGCCAGGTATGGTAGAGAAAAAAAGGTTTTTTTTCCTCATCCTGTCAAAAAAAAGAGGGGAATGCGCATTTGCTTTAAAAAGTCCCTCAATAACTATTTTACGTCTTTGAGTTCGCATAGAGTCTTTTATTAAGCCTTGGCGAAAATCAGATTGGTGCGGATATCGTAATAAAAAAAGCTTATTATCCTCATCTTCCTTTTTCTTTTTAATATTTTTATCTTTCTCATTATCGTCGGATTTTATAGCTTGAATATTTGTATCTTTTGTATTCTTATCTTTGTTTGTAGTCTTATCTTTGAGAGTCTTAGGTTCTTCAAAAATTAATACACTGATCCCTTTTCTTGAACGAATATCATGATCATCTGGTGGATTTGTAAAATACGATATTTGTTCCAATTCAGTTATTAATTTGTATGACCATCGGGGGACTTTTTTACCAATTTCTTCTTTACCTATTTTTTCTATTGCAGAAGATTTTTTATCGTCTGTCTCAATTGCATTTACTAAAAATTTTGTTAGTTGTTCTGAATCCGTTAAATTGAAACTTGATGATAAAGTTGAGAACTCACCAACTT